GCCTCCCAAGTGCTGGGATTAAAGGCGTGCGCCACCACGCCCGGCAATAAAAATATTTTTAAAAAATAAAAATATTCATGGAGTTTTTGCCAGAACAGTTTTGGTTTCTTTTTCAGATTTAAATGTTTGATCCGTCTGGAATTTATTTAGTAAGGAAGGAGGCCGCCAATTTCTATTTTTCCAAACGGACAGCCAGCTGTTCCAATGCCTTTCGGTTGGAAAACTTTTCACACTCCACGAGCTCCGCATACATTTTCCCCCTCAGCGCCTGTCTCCCCGCCAGAGGAGGCCCCAGCCCGCACAGGCGAAGCCCCACCCCCAGCCGCCTTTGGTGAGCTGAACCGTTCCGGCCTCTTCTCTCCGAGGTCTTCGAAGTCAAAGGGCTTTCTGGGAGAATAATTTAAATAGACAACGCGTCCTGGGCATTATTTGCATAGGGGTAGGGCCACAACAAGCGGACCATCCTCAGAGGACGCGACCAGCGCAAGAGCCTCCTTTTTGCACAGGACGTGGCCACGGTGGAGGCGGGCCCCACGGTGGAGCCAGACACCACTTCCTCCTTCCGCGGGCTCCTTCCGCATTCCTCCCGCCTTCCTTCCGTGCTGCGCTGCTTTCGTTCCGTCGTCTCCCGGCGCCTCCCGAGTCCGTGCCCAGATGCTTCGGAAACGGCGGCGAGTGCGGGCTGGGTCCTCGCGCGGCGCTGCTGCCTCCTCCGCGCCGCTCCCGGCGCGCTTCCCCGGCATCGTCCTCTACTTGGCGGAGCCGCGCATGGGCCGTAGCCGCCGCGCGTTCCTCACGCGCCTGGCGGTGTCCAAAGGCTTCCGCGTCCTGGATGTCTACAGGTGTGCGGCTCCCGCGCAGGCCTCTGCCGAGGGCTCCGGGTTGGTGGGTGCCGGCCTCGCCGGGTACAGGCGGACGGCTGCTACCCCAGTATGTGGCCCCTTGACCGCAGAGACCACTGTGGTCCCCGGCGTTCGGTTGGTTGCACGTTAACTCTGGCACTTCGCAGCCCTGTTACCTTTTTTCTCCAACCCGGATTTCCTCTTTTAAAGGGTGCCCGGAGTAATCTTCGGGATTGTTGAGAAGCAAGCCAAAGGTTTTTCAAAGAGCCGTGCAGAGACAAGTGTAGTTAATAGTATTTGCTAGCTGCCCTCCCTCCTTGTAAGCCATCAAGAATGCCCTGAGTCTATGGAACACACCTATTTCTGTAGAGGGAACTGCTACGATGCCCAGGCAGGAAAGTGAAGATAGCAAAAGAACTTGGGGCCAGTGCCCCTGTGGTGAGCTGGCTTGTCGGCCCCCACCCTCAAATAAGCATTTGTGAAGACTAGTGCACCAGAGTTACTTAAAAGAGAACAAAGATAGCATCTTTTTTTTGGTCTTTCTGAAGCAGGGTCTCCAACTCACTATGTAGACCAGGCTGGCCTTGAACTCATGGAGATCATCCTGCCTCTGCCTCCTGAGTGCTGGGATTACAGATGTGTGCCACCACACCCGGCTCAGAGATAGCATCTTAGACTACAGAGAGCTTAGACTACACTATGCTTTTTACAACAGCCTGGCAAAGTAGCTGCTGTGTTATCCTTTCCAGAAGAGGAAGTATAGATACCAGGCTCTCCCAAGGGCATGCAGCAAGTGTTTTTCCACTAGGGTTTAGACAAATTAGGCAGGCACTGGTGTCTGCCTAAACCCCAGCACTGGAACTCTTATAGATGTGATGATGCATGTCTATAATCATGGCACTTGAAGGTTGAAGTATGTTAGAGTTGCAGGCCAGCGTGAGCTTCATAGTGAGTTTGAGGCCAGCCTGTGCTACATAGCAAGACCCTTCTCAAAACAACAGTCAGCACTGAGATGAGAACCACTTGGTCCAGGTCCCTAAAGAGCACTTTTCTCTGAGGTAGAGAGGAAGGCAGACAACACAAACAGGCTATGCTTGTGACTAGAGCTAAGAACTACAGTTCTGAGAGACATGGAGGTGTTTATCCACCAAGGAGAGGCTGGGCAGAGAGCTTTGTAGAAGTGACGTTTAAAGAATGAAGGACAGTCTCAAAGTAGAGGGCACGGCAAGAACAAAGGCCTTGAAACCTAGCATGGTAGCACACCCTTGGAGTCTCAGCACTTGAAAATCAGAGGGAGGCAGAGCTCTGTGAGTTGGCATAGCAAGTTCCAGGTTAGGGCTACATAGTGAGACCCTGTCTCAAACAAAACAAAACAACACACCACCAACAAAAACAAAGGCTTGGGAGTATGGAGCATAACTGGAAGGGCCCTGGGTTTCCCTGTCCTCTCCACCCAGCTCAGAGGTGACCCATGTGGTGATGGAGCAGACCTCGGCGGAGGAAGCCATCAACTGGCAGAAGCGCATGGCTGCTGATCTGGACTATCACCATCCAGCTCTGCTGGACATTAGCTGGTTCACAGAGAGCATGGCAGCTGGGCAGCCTGTCCCCATGGAGGTCCGGCACCACCTGGAGGTGAGCTAGTGCTGGGCTAGCCCAGCTGGCATAGATACTGTGATAGCAGCATTCCAGTGTCCTTTGGCGGTGGGGAGTGAGGGGGGTCTCCCTGAACCACAGAAGCCAGTAGAGGGGTCCACAGCAGGGACTTGGGGGCTGGACTTTCCCAGCTTATGTCCTAACTACATCCACATGAGGCCTCTTATTTTTAGCATATTCAAGTGTTTCCTTAGTAAGGATTTGGGATGACCTGTGGGTTTTCAGGAACCTGACCTTGGAATGCTCTGGAGCCAGGCTGCCCAGAGGCAGAAGACAAGCTCTCTCACCTTTGAGACCTTAGTCGCCAACCCATGAGTATAGAGTTAAGAGGTGGTAGCCTCATGATGGCCTGTACCTTGCCCTCCTGCAGGTAGCTGAGCCCAAGAAGGCGCCCCCAAGCCCGGTATTGATGCCAGCTTATGCCTGTCAGCGTCCCACACCTCTCTCTCACCACAACACTAGACTCTCGGTAAGCTGCATCTATGAGGAGATCCCAGCCCTAGAGAGTTGGGGACATCGGTATAGGTGGTTGGTAGCTGATGGGTTGAGGCAAGGTACCTTGACCACCCCGCCACTTAACCAAGGGCCCTTCCTGCAGGAGGCTCTGGAGACACTGGCAGAGGCAGCAGGCTTTAACAGCAACGAGGGCCGCCTCCTCTCCTTCCACAGAGCAGCCTCAGTGCTCAAGGCCCTTCCCTACCCTGTCACATCCCTGAGTCAGCTGCAGGGGCTGCTCCATTTTGGAGAACATTCCTCTAGAGTTATCCAGGTAGGTGCTTGCCATACTGAGTAGGGTAAGTGGGTGGTTCATAGCCAAGTGTGGAAGTATGGGCATGTGCACAGATGCTGCTGCAAGGCTACAATAAGCCATCCTTAGCACAGATCCCTCCTGGTATGTGTTGCTCTCCAGCCCCAGGATGGCTGAGACGACTCAGTGAAGGGAGCTGCTGGCATTAGTGTCATTGTCAACAGTCCCAACTGCCTGGGATGGTGCAAGAGAGCACCCTGAGTGTGGGGCTTTAAATTTTTTATTTATTTTTTTATTTCATTTTATTTTATTTATTTTGGTCTTTTTGAGACAGGGTCTCCCTGTAGCCCCAGCTGACCTGGAACTCACAGAGATCTGCCTGCCTCTGCCTCCCTACTGCTGGTACTAAAAGCGTGCACCACCACACCTGGCTCAAGTTTTTGTTTATTTATTTTTATTTTATGTGTATGAGTGTTTGCCTGCATGTATGTAATTGCACCTGTGTCATACAATGCCTTCAGAGGCCAGAAGAGGATGTTGGATCCCCTGGAACTGGAGTTACAGACAGTTGTTAGTTGCCATATGGGTACTGGGAACTGAACCCTGATCCTCTGCAAAAGCAGCCAGTGCTCTTAACAACTGAGCCATCTCTCCAGCCCCAATTAACTAAACCAGCCTTTTGTACACTTTTGCTTCAAGAGCCCATAGTGGCAAAAGATGCTTTTAGATGAACTCATACATATTTTTAAGGGTAAACATTTTATATCCTGTGATTTTTTTAGTCATCTGAGAGGTACCCGTATTACTGGGCCCTTGGTATTTATAACTCCAGTCCTGAGAAGCTTTGAGGCTAGAGCCTCTGCTATCCTGACTGTGAACAGCTTTGGTCTCCTCCCCAGTCACAGTCCCCATTTCTTTCTTTTTTTTTTTTTTTTTTTTAATATTTTATCACTTTTATGTGTACAAGTGTATTCCCTGCATGTATGTGAGTGCACCCGTGTCGTGCAATGACACGGAGGTCAGAAGAGGGCTTCAGATTCCCCTGGAACTGGAGTTAAGGACAGTTCATAGCCACCATGTGGGTGCTGGGAATCGAACCGGGTCCTCTGCCAGAGCAGTCAGTGCTCTTAACTGCTGAGCCATCTCTCCAGCCCCACAGTCCCCATTTCTAAGTCTTGCTGGTTCCTGACACCACAGAGCCCCTCTCTGCAGGGTGTGGAGGGAACTGCCTCCATTTTGAGCTCAGAGTTCTGTTTTTATTTCCTGTTGCAGGAGCTGCTGGAATGTGGAACATGTGAGGAGGTGGAGCTAGTACGCTGCTCAGAAAGATACCAGACCATGAAGGTGTGTAGAGCACAGTCCACAGCATATGCAGACAGCCAGCAAGGGCGACTGACTAGGGTCAGAGAAGGTCTCAGGAAAGAAATGGCAGCTAAGCTGACACCTGATATGTACAAGGCTGCCAAGTGGAGACATGCAGGCAGAGCCTGTTTGGAGCACAGGGAATTTTCTAGATCACTCGGCACCATCTGTTTTTAATGGACATTTTTACTTTTTTTTTTTTTTTTTTTTTGGTTTTTTTGAGACAGGGTTTCCGTGTAGCCCCAGCTGTCTTGGAACTCACTATGTAGATCAGGCTGGCGTTGAACTCACAGAGATCCGCCTGCCTCTGCCTCCCGAGTGCTGGGATTAAAGGTGTGCACTACCACGCCTGGCTGGACTCTTTTTTTTAATAGTTTATTTATTATTTTTCCTTTCTGTGTATGAGTGTATTACCTGCATGTATGTGAGTGCATCCATGTCATACAATGCATAGAGGTCAGAAGAGGGCTTCGGATTCCCCTGGAACTGGAGTTAAGGACGGTTTGTAGCCGCCATGTGGGTGCTGGGAATCAAACCCTGGTCCTCTGCAAGAGCAAGAGCAGTGAGTGCTCTTAACTGCTGAGCCAGCTCTCCAGTCCCTAATGGACTATTTTTATGGAATATTCTCATGCATATTAAAGAGCACACTGAACAAAGTGTGTGCATGGGGCATGTGTGTTTAGGATCGCCACCTTGCACTGTCTCATCTCTTATGGTTTCAGGCATCATTCTTGGTGCCGTGGGTCTGCCTAGCTCCATGGGACACTTTTGTCTGTGCCTTTCACTGCTTACCTGATATGGAGGTGCCATCCAAGCCTCCTAGACACTTTGCTTTTGTCTGCTTTGATACCTTTCTGCCTCTCATTTTATAACTGGAAATTGTCAGGTCAGTGGCCTGAGATTTGTGTCAGTGACTTGTGGTCTCCTAGGAGGGTGAACCTGTTGGTATTGTAGAACAACACACAGAATACCGTCAAGGGAGCAGGGAGGCCTTGCAAGAGATTCCTCCAACCATGTATAAAGCAGTTGAGGCTTGCTGGGTGAATCAGATGTGGGGCCTGGGATGAAGTGACCTTGATGTTGAGGGAGGTAGGTGAATGGTTTCACCCTCACTCAGCCCCAGCCCTAGTGAGCATGTCCTGGGCAGAAGAGAGGGAAGCACTTTAAGATGTTGGAGCTGTGTCTCCACCTCTCCCCCACCCTGCCTCTTAGGTACCCCAAAGTCCTAGGAAACATCCACACCAGCAGAAGATTACATTAGTAATTGAAAGTATTTTCGTTTTCATTTTTGGGTTTTTGAGATCAGATCTCACACTGGATCCAAGGCTGGCTTCAAATTCAAAGCAATCCTCCTGCCTTAGCTTCCTAAGTACTAGGATCATAGGCATGAGGACCTCCCCCTTTTAAAATAAATAATATAGTTATTGATTTCTACATTTTATTCATTTTTAGATTTAACTTTAAAACTTCTTTTTACATCTGTTTATTTATTTGGGTAGGGGGTAGCATGCCATGGCATATATGTGGAGGTCAGAGGAAAACTTGCAAGAGTTGGTTCTCCCCTTCCACAATGTGGGTTCCAGGGTTTGAACTCAGGTCATCAGGCTGGGCAACAAGCCCTTTTATCTGCTGAACCATCTTACAGCCTATTTAAAAAATTTTAAAGACAGTTTTTAAAAAAAATATTTTATGCATATGAGTGTATTGCCTACATGTATATAAGTACACCTGTGTCCTGCAGTGCCGGAGGAGGTCAGAAGAAGGCTTCCGATTCCCCTGGAACTGGAGTTACAGATTGTTGTTAGCTGCCATGTGGGTGCTGGGAATTTAAACTGAGTTCTCTGCAAAAGCAGCCAGTGCTCTTAACTACCGAGCCATCTCTCTACCCCCAAGACTGTTTTATGTAGCCCAGGCTGGCCTTGAACTTGTGATCCTCCCCATCTCAGTGTAGGGATTACAGGCATGTGCCACAACCTCAGGATTATTTGTTTTTGTTTTTGAGACAGGGTCTCATGGAGCCCAAGCTGGGCTGGAACTCCCTATGTACATAGCTGTCTTCCTCTTGCCTTCACTTCCCAAAGTGCTCAGATACCAGCATATTACTACCATACCCCACTAGTGTTAGATTGTTAAAGCCAGATTCTGTTGATTGAAGTGATAGTTGTCTTCCAAGGTAAGTTTAGGGAATCTGAAAAAAACACAGAAAGGACAGGGCTGAAACTGCTCTTTTTCTCCTCTGCTTACTTGCTTGTTTGTTTGAGACAGGGTCTCACTCTTTAGCTCAAGGCTGCCCTAAAATAGATAGATCTTCCTGCCTCTGCCTCCCGAGTGCTGTGATTACAGGCACACATGGCCACGCATGGCCTCTGCCCTTCCTTGACACACATCAGTATCCTCCACGACTAGAAGACATGGCCATAGAAGAGCTTGGACCATATATACAGACTCTACCACTATGTGGGCTGTCCTCAGTCTCATTCCAGAATTCCTGGGGAGAGTCTCTGACTGGTTGACCCAAGGCAGGTAACATGCTTGAGTCCAGGGTCCCCATAGACCTGTTGGCATTTGAGCCTTTCCCCAGCTCTGTGTGGGAGACTCCATGAGACCAGTTTCCCCATACCTCCTGTGGCAGAACCTTGAACAGGCCCAGTCAGCTTCTTCAGTATTTCTGCTGAAACCATACTCTAAACTCCTTGATTTTGCTGTTTGTTGAAGAGAACCACAGAAGTAAGCACTGAGATTGATGGAAGAGGCAGTTTTCCATGTGAATTAAGAATCCATTGAGCTAATGTATAACTTGTTTGGTTCTATTGGAAGTGAGGGCTGTTGGACTTGTATACATTTAGGGGAGAGCCCCTTTATAGAAGAGGAGTAAAGAGATAGCCTGCTGCGTTTTTGGCAGTTGGGCAGTAGAAATATGTTCCCCTACTAGGGCTGCTCCCAGGATATGTGAGTCTGGTCCCTTGTGAGAGTGGACTGGGCTCACTCAGTCCAGACTCCAGGACTGAGTCCTCATCCTGCGGCACTGAGCACAAAGCAATCCTCTCCTGTTTATCTTCCTGTGGGACTTTGCTCCTGACCCATCTTTTGCTTCCTTCACATAGGTCTTCACCCAGATCTTTGGGGTTGGTGTGAAGACTGCCAACAGGTGGTACCAGGAAGGACTGCGAACCCTGGATGACCTCAGAGAGCAGCCCCAGAGGCTGACCCAGCAGCAGAAAGCAGGTGAACCTCCCCAGAGCCACCTGGACCTGGAAGCTCTGTAACCTAAAGCCCTTAGCTCTGACATGGGATGTGCTGATTGAGTGGCAGGGAGCAGCTGCTGCAGAGGGGGCTTTGTAACAGGTCCTTTGGCTTCCTGGGGTTTCCTCCCTGCAGTCAGGGTCTACCATGGCCCTTTCTCAGTGACTGACTGTAGTCACAGCATTGCTGCGGCAGCCTCCTGTTTGATTTGGATGGGGGTTGGGGCAGCCTTGGTCTGGGCCCACCTGTCCAGTATGGTGCTTGGTGTGTGTGGTTCTGCAGTTGTAGGTATCACCATGAGCGCAAAGAATATAAACTTCAGGATTTCTTAGGCCTGGCTTGGAGTCCTCTATTTACCAGGTAGGGCACCATGTCTTCGTGGCTATCTTCTCTTGAGTCTAGGTTCCCTTTTCTAGGGAATGGAGAGAAATGATAAGATTCTGTAAGCTCCCCTGGGAGGTGGCAGATTGTAAGCAAATACTTGGTGTTTATGTGGCCTGCTGGTCACTCTGGTGCTACTGACTGGACCCACCTGGCTAGGGGCTCTGCCCCTAAGGGTGCCATAGGCTGCCAGCACATCTCCCTGGTGGTGCATGCTTCAGTTGTCTCTCCACAGGGCAAGGATAGACAGGATGGCCAGCAGCGTTTCCTAAGGGCTTGCTCTGTGCTAAGCACTGCATAAACCTTAATTCAGCGTGAAAGGCACAATGGTGCCTCTTTGACAGGCAAGGAGACAGTAATAGTCCAAAGGAGAGGTTGGTAGTAGCAAAGCCATCTTCCTCACGTCTTTTTTACCAGTTCTTGGTTGTCTTTGATGAATGCAGACTCTGAAACCTTAAAAGGACTGGCTGCATCTTGCCTGTGTTAACATCATCATCCCTATACATAGTTCTGTTAAAGGGTTGGTTTTTGTATTGTTGTTATTGTTACTTTGTGGAGTTGGGGATTGAACCTAGGGCTTTGGCATGTATCAGGCAAGCTCTCTGCCCTAGCTCTGGTTTTACTAAAGTTTTACAAGATGTTACCTTTGTGGGAGAGTTGGGATCTTATTTCCTTCAACTGCATATGAATCTACAGTTATCTTAAAATAAGAATTTAAGTTTAGCTGGACATGGTGGCGCATGTCTATAATTCCAGTGCTCTGGAGGCAGAGACAAGTTAAATCAAGGTCAGCCTGGTCTACGTAGTGAGTTCCAGGCCAGCCAAAGCTACATAGTGTTTAAAGGGGGAGGTGGATAGTTTTGTAGGCTCTCACTCTGCTCCTCTCAGACGCTTCTCCTGGTCTGCCAGCCATGGGGACAGGCTAACTGCTTATGCTGGGGTTCCTTGGGGAAGACAGGCTGGGGAAAGGAGGGAGTCCATGCTACCCACAGGGCTCCAGCACTACGAGGACCTGAGCACCCCAGTTGGGCGAGCCGATGCTCAGGCTCTGCAGCGGTTGGTGGAGGCAACTGTGGAACACACCCTGCCTGGAGCCACTGTCACGCTGACTGGCGGTTTCCGGAGGTAAGGGATCTTACCATACCTTCAGCCTGTATTCTAGCCTCATCTAGCCTCATTCTAGCCTCAGAGAATCAAACTGTCACTTTCAGGGGCAAGTTGCAAGGCCACGATGTGGACTTCCTTCTCACCCACCCTGAGGAGGGCCAGGAAGTGGGGCTGCTGCCCAGAGTGATGAGCCACCTGCAGAACCAGGTGAGGGCCTCCAGTGCTTCTGCTTGGGGTGACTGATGACCAGCCTTCTGCCCTCCTGGAACTATGGCAGTACCTGGCCACACCTGTGTCCCCCCTCCCAGGGCCTTGTCCTATACCACCAGTACCACTGCAGCCATTTAGGAGACCCTGCCCACCACCTCCAGCGGCAGAACCACACCATGGATGCCTTTGAGAGGAGTTTCTGCATCTTGCGCCTGCCGCAACCCCCAGAGGCTGCTATGGATGTGGCCCAGAATCCCTGCCCAGCCTGGAAAGCTGTGAGGGTAGATCTGGTGGTCGCCCCCAGCAGCCAGTACCCTTTTGCTCTCCTTGGCTGGACTGGCTCCCAGGTAGGCCATACACTCCTGGAGTTGCCTGGGGCTGGGATGCGCCACCCTGCTAAGGGCAATTGTTTCCCCTCAGCTTTTTGAGCGGGAACTTCGCCGCTTCAGCTGGCAAGAGAAAGGGTTGCGGCTGAACAGCCATGGGCTGTATGACCCAGAGCAGGTATGTTGTCAGGAACTAGGGAAAGAAACAGACCCCATAACCTGCATCCTGGCCCACAGTCTCAAATGAGTCCAGCATTCCTACATCCTTCAACCCACAGGGCCCAAATCAGGGTCTCAACTCCCCCATAAAGTTGAGACTTTTGCCTTAGCACTGGGCTCTGCCTCTGTCTAGCCTGTCTCTGGGGGAGTAGCCCTGAAAGAGGGCCAGAAGGTGGGGCTGCAGCCCAGAGTGATGCACAGTGCCTGGTAGCATGGCAGGACCCCAACTATACTGCATGGTAGTGCCCTGGCCCCCAGCCAGTAAAGCTTCTGTTCCTTACAGAAGGCATTTTTCCATGTGACTTCTGAGGAAGACATTTTCAAACACCTGGGCCTCACGTACCTTCCTCCAGAGCAGAGAAACGCCTGATCCTCCTGGTGGCCACCACTCCTACCCGTAGAAAATAAGGAGTAGCCTGATGGCTGACCATGAATGTCTGGGGAGAGAAGGTGTGCTGCCACCCACATCCTCATCTGGGCAAATGGAGTTTTCATGCTGGGACATTGGCAAGGAAGGGCCTTCCACCCAACCTCAAAGCTGTGTGACCTTGGGTCACTTTTAACCTCCTGGCTCCTCAGCATCAGGGGCTCTGAGCAGTGCACACATCGTGGAACTGTGGCAGAGTCTGAAGTTTTTGTTCTGATCCTGGTGTGAGCATTTGATACGTCCAGTTGTGGGTGTTTTGTCTGCTACAAGATATCTCCATTCAGGGTGCCAGAAGAGAAACACATATCCCTGTCCTGGGCTTGAGCTGTGAGATGGAAAATGTCATTCTGGCTGTGAGGTGTCACACACAAGAAGCCTGGCTGAGGGGGCTGCAGTGTCTGGAGAAGGAGGGGGCTTGGGACAGAGAACTTCTTTTGCAGGGGTATCAATCAGCACCACCACCCATAGATAGGCTTCCTGCTTCTGCCTTTAAAGGTTGTTGTCAGCTTTCTTAAAGACAAGTCTCACGCTGCCACTCCTGTCAGCCCCCAGTCCACTTCCTATCCTTCTCTTTCCAGACCCCATTTGGCCAATTCCTTTACCTTCTCTGCGGCAGAAGCATCAGAGTGGGCTCATCACACAGGTGTCCTGTTTTCTTCATGTCCAAAGGCGCATTCTGGCATCAAGGCCTTTGGCCTTGCCTTACTGTCCACCTAAAGTCCCCTTTCCCTGCCTTCTTTAGGAATTGGCTGGTGAGGGCTTCTCAGATCATTCTGTACATTAACAGGTTTTTTAAATTAACATTCAATAAAATGAATTCTTGGATTATAGTTTTATGAGTATACTGCCTGCATGTATGTAAGGGCACCCATGTCTTGCAATGCCCTCAGAGGTCAAAAGAGGGCATAGGGCCCTGGAACTGAACTGGATTTATAGACAGTTGTTAGCTGAGATGTGGGTGCTAGGAACTGAACCCAGGTCCTCTGCAAGAGTAACCAGTGCTCTTAACCCCTGAGCCATCTCTCTAGCCCACAAGTATACTCTTTACACACACACACACACACACACACACACACACACACACACACACACTCACACTCCTCACTTCTGCCACCATCAGGACACAACAGGTCTGTTCCCTAGAACATTGCTTTGTACCATTCTGTTATGGTGACAGGCTTTCTTACCCCAGCCTGCTTTGGTTCTTTGTCTCTATGGTTACATCATAGATGTGGAGCTAAACTTTATATAGCCTATTGATGGCCTCCGCCTTAGCATAATGCTCTTGAGATTCCTTTGGGTTCTTGCATATATCAACAGTTCGCTCCTCTTACTGCTACATACCATGAGAGTTCCATATAAGTCCATTCAGCTGTTGAAGGTTCACACTGTTTCATGGTTTGATGATTATAAGTAGAGCTGCTATGGGCCTACATGTAAATTTTTGTATAAGCAATACTGTAGACATTACTTTTCCTGTTGCTGTGATGGAATGCCCCGACAAAAGCTACTTCAGGGAGAATGGATTTCTTCACCTCACAGTCCAAGGGTGAAGCTGTCATGACATGGAAAGTGCTTGACGAGGTGGTCACATTGCATACTCAGTCAGGAAGCAGAGAGTGATGGATACAAATGCTCAGCTAGTCTTTCCCTTTTTATGGAACACTGGCAGTTAGAAGGGTGCCACCCATGGCAGGCTGGTCTGCCCACCCCAGTTAATCTAATACAGATACTCACTCACAAACATGCCCAGAGGCTAACCTAATCTGTCTAAATAATCCCTCACAGGCATACCCAGAGGCCTGCTCTAGGTAATTCTAGATCCTGTCAAGTTGACAATATTAAACATCACAAATATGTTTTCATTTCTTTTGGGTAAATAGCAAGGCATAGGATTATTAATTCATGTGATGAGTATATGTTTAAGTTCATAAGAAAGCCAAGCTGTTGTCCAGCATGCTTGTGTCATTTTAGAGTTTACCAACAGTGTGAGCCATCCATGTAAGCTAAACATCTCCAGGAGGCTGTTGGTCTGCATACGTTAGCTCTTAGTATTTCATGTTTATTTGAGCTGGTTTGCAGCAGTAGCTAACTGTTACAAATGTGATATATCACTCAGAAACTCATGAAACTCAAAAGCATAGTCCCCCTAGTCTGTTCAAAGGTGGGGCTTTTGGGAAGTAACTGATCATGAGCATCCTGACATAATCAGTGGTTTAATCCATAGATGGGCTAATACTTTGATGGCATTATTTGGGGTGGGGTCTCACTGGAAAAAGTAGGTTACTAGGCCTTACCCTTGAAATGCATCTCTTGTCTCCATGCTTCCTGGCTACCATGAACTGAGTAGTTTTGCTCTACTGTGTCATCTGTCCCATAATGTTCTGCCTCACCACAGGGCAAGAAAAAAGGGAGCCAAGAAACCATGGACTGAAGCCTGTGAAACTGTTAGCCAAAAGAAATCTTTCATTTGTTTGTTTGTTTGTTTTGAGACAGGGTTTCATGTGGGGAAGTTAGGAGGGAACTCAAACTGCCCATGTAGCCAAGGATGACCTTGAACGTATGATCCTCTTGCCTGCACTTCCCAAGCCCTGAGATTATACATGTGCAGCACCATGCCCTGGTTCTCAAGCATTTTGTCACAGCAGTGAGAAAGAACTGATGCTTCCTCCACAGCATCATCTGTGATAACCACACGTGGTACCATGGAGCTACATGTCCACCCCACTACAGTGCTTTTTTATTGCTTTTCCTTTCCTTTTCCTTTCTCTTCTTTCTTTTTTAAAAATACATTTATTTATTTGTTTACTGTGTGTGTATGTATGTATGTGGGTGCATGTGTACCAATGTACATGTGTGGAGGCCAGTCGTTCTCTCCTTCTACCACATGGGTCCCAGGAATCAAACTCAGGTTGTTAACCTTAGTGGGAAGCATTTTTACCCACTGAGCCATCTTGCTGGCCCTTCTCTTTGTGTGTGTGTGTGTGTGTGTGTGTGTGTGTGTGTGTGTGTGTGAGTGATGCATACATACATGTAAATGTGAGGGTGTACGTGCCAGTGCACGTCCATGCAGAGATGTCTTCTGTCATTTTCCACCTTACTGCCTTTGGACAAGGTCTCTCACTGAACCAGAAGCTCACTGCTTCAGCTTGGCTCTGGGGATCCTTCTACCTCTGCCAATGCTGGGAGTTACAGGAATATGTAGCCATGCTAAGCTTTTTACATGGATGGATGCTGGTATTCAACTCAGGTTCTCATGCTTGTAGAGCAAGCACTCTTACCTATGGAATGATCTCCCAACCACACCTCCTAAATTTTAAAATTTTTATTTATTTATTATTTATTTATTTATGTGTATGTACATTGTGTATCACGGCACATATGTAGGGCTCAGAGAACAACTTGTGAGAGTTGAACTCTCCTACCATGTAAGTTCTAGGGATTGAACTCAGGTCATCAGGCTTGGCAGCAAGTATCTGTACCCACTAATCTCACTGGCCCAGGGTCTCATTATGTAGCCTTGGTTGGCCTGGGATTCACTATGTAAAGCCAAATTGGTCTTGGACTTGTGGAAATCCTCCTGCCTCTGCCTCCCAAATTGCTGGGATTACAGGCATGCACCATCACTGCTGGTGTGGTGGATAATCTCAACTGTCAACTTTATGAAGTCTAGAATCACCTGGAAGGAAAGCCTCTGGGCTTGCCTATGAGAGATTATCATGATTAGGTTAATTGAGGTGGGAAGACCCACCCTAAAAGTGGGTGGTACCATTCCCTGGGTTGAGTCCTGGTCTGCATAAAAAGGAGAAAGCTAGCCAAGCACATTCATCACTCTCTTCCTGACTGGATGCAGTGTGAGCAGCTGCTTCCAGCTTCTGTTGACTTCAGCACAGTGATGGACTGTGCCTAGAACTGTGAACCACAATAAACTCTTTCATCCTTAAATTGCCGGTGTCAGACTATTTTATTGAGGCAACAGGAAAAGTAAGATAACCTGACTTCTTTTTGTTTTTATTTTTATGTTTATGAGTGTTATGCTTGCATGTATATAAGTGCACCCATGGTGTGCAGTGCTCAAAGAGGACAGAGAAAGTGCGGAATCCCCTGGAACTGGAGTTATGGACAATTATTAACTGCCATGTGGGTGCTTAGATTTGAACCCGGGGCCTCTGCAAAAGCAGCCAGTTCTCTTAACATCTGAGCCATCTTTCCAGCCCCAGTTGTTTTTACTTTTGTGTGTATGTGTGTGTGTACATGTTTGTGTGTGGTGGTACATGTGAGTGGGGTAGGCATGTGTGTATAAGCCAGAGGTCAGCCTTGAGTGTGGTCTCTTACTGGGGCCTGGGGTTCACTGAGCTAGATCTACTGGCCAGCAAGCTCCAGGGTTCTTCCTGAACTTGCCTTCTGAGTACTGGGGTAGAAATGCATGTCCAGCTTTTTATGTGGGTTCTGGGAATTGAACTCAGGTCCTTATGATTGCATAGCAAGCACTTTACCAGATGAACTATCCCTTCAGCCCATCTGACCCTTTGTTTTTAAGAGGTACTCTTGGTGCTGGAGAGATGGCTCAGTGGTTAAGAATACTGGCTGCTCTTGGAGAGGACCCAGGTTCAGTTCCCAGCACCCACATGGCAGCTAATAACCATCCGGAGCACTAGTTCCAGGGAAATCCAACACTCTCTTCTGACCTCCGTAGGTATTGCATGACACAGGTGCCCTTACATACATGCAGGCAATACACTCACACACATAAAAATAAAATTTTTTTTTAAAGATGAGCACTTTTTTTTTAAACATAAAAAGGTTGTCTCTTTACAGTGGAAAATGAAGATGAAAATCAGCCCCCAACTCCCAGCTCTGCTAAGGTCCTAGGATTCTCCTGCCAAGTGGAAAGATGGAGGCAAGGATTTCCTTTATGAGTTTATTGCATGGTTCCTGATGATACTCAAGCATTCCATTATTTTCTACCAAAATATGTGTCCTATAGGGTCATCTAACTCTATTTTGCTCTCTTTTCTGTACCCAGATATTCTACTTCCACATACACATTCTACCCAGTCTTTACAAAAGTGTGGCATCCAGCTGGAATTTAGGGCTATTCAGCACTTTGAATTGTCATCTGGTGAACTTTGTTAAGGCCCAGCCTTTTGTGTACATTAAAGGGAGTCGCAGCCTGCTCCACAGTGGCCTTGTTACCTCACCAGCCCCAGCTCAGGACAGCCAGCTACCAACACAGATTGCTCAGTGTGGTTTAAAATTACATTTACCCGATGTCTAGGATCAAATCTTCACAGGACTTACTGCTGTGCTTTTGGAGAAAGTGTCCAAGATGTTTTGCCCATTTTTAAAAACACTGATTAAAAAAAAAATGTTGACTTTGAGTGTTCTTTTGTTTGTTGATGTTTTTATTGATGACATTTTGAAACAATCTTTTTTTTTTTTTTTTTTTTTGAGACAAGTTCTCCATGTAGCCCCAGTTGACCTGGAATTCACTAGTAGACCAGGCTGGCCTCGAACTTACAGAGCTCTACCTGCCTCTGCCTCCTGAGTACTGGGATTAAAGATGTACACCACCATGCCCAGCCTGTTTAGGATTTTTGTGTCTGTCTTGATGAATCTTGGTGTATACTTTCCTTGTACTGCCATTGTCTCATCTTGGTATCAGGTTGTTTATGATCAAGTTATTGTTTAGGCAGGATTCTCTGGAAGATTGTGTAA